ATACTCCAACCCCAAAACCTCCATACCCCCCCTCATTCCCAAAAGTTTCTCAGCAGATTTGGGCTGTACTCGGCAAGCGCAGTACAGCCCCCATCTCAGATTTGAAAAAAAATCAGCGGATGGTTGTTCTCTGACTGGTCGGCAGACCGCCGTCAGCTGCAATACGGTCGGCGGTCAGCAGGCATGCAACCCTGCCTCCAACCACCATTTTGTTCCTCGTGCCCAGCCTTCCCATCCCTGCTTCACTGCCCCTCCCCCTGATCCCACTACCTTGCTCTTCCCCCGATCCCCCTGCCCCACTCCTTTCCCCCTCCTCCCCGCGCTTCTCGTGCTCCGAACCCCAACGTCCTCCTCCCCTCTGCTCCTCTTCCAGCCCGGCCCAAATCACTCTCTCCCTGACCCCATCCCCATCCCATTCCCCCTCACCCCATAGCGCTCCTACCACTCCCTCCCAACAAACCCTTGCCACTCCTACTCCAGCCTCCATGCCCCTCCTCCCGTCCGCTGACCCTCCCCCAAATCCTGGTCCTCCAGACCCCATCCAACCCCCATTCCTTGCCCCACTTCTCCTACTAGCTCCCGCTCCTCAAACCCGATACCGCTTCCCCAGATCCTCCTGCCCACCCGCACCCTGCTCCCCTATTCCAGCTCCTCCCCAGCTACTCCATCTCCCAGATACGATCCAGCTTCCCGAGACTTGGTCCCACTCCCCCCTGTTTCTCCCCCAGCTCTTGCCCCATCCGACCCAAACCCAAACCCACTCCTCTCACTCCGTGACACTTCCTTCCCACCCCATCCCGTTCCGCCCCTGATGCCCCTCCTTTCCGCCCTCCCAATCCCATTCCGCCCCCGATGCCCCTCCTTTCCGCCCTCCCCATCCCGCTTCTGTCACTCCTTCCCGCCCCTGATCCCATCCATTTCTCCTCCCATCCCAATATCTTTCCTTCCCCTGCTCCTCTGCGACCCACCTCAACCCCATCCCCTTACTCGCACCCCTGCCCAACTATCCCATCCTCCTCCCCCACACCCAATCCTTCTTCAACAGACCCAATCCTCCTCCCTCCTCTAGCCTACTCCTGAACCCATGCCTTTCCTCCCCTCCAATCTCCCAACGCTCCCACCCGCTCTTCCCTGACCCACCCCCTACCCCATCCCCCCACTTCTCTCTTGTGGTCGGGCAGAAGCTAAGCCCGAGGTGGGAAGGGAGTGAAGGGGAGGAGGTGCATAGGGTGGAGAGGGGAGGAGAATGGGTGGGAGTGGGATTGGATCTGCGGAGCAGTATCAGGGGGAGGGGCAGCAGAACAGGTTGGGAAGGCCGGGAAAGAGGAGGAGAAACAGTGGGGGCTGAGGGGTGGTAGAATCTGGCCAGTGCTTCTCCGTCTCTCGTCTCGTTTAGTGTAGAAGCATAGGGGGAGGAACGAGATGGGTGGGAAAGGAATGTGATGATGGGATCAGGGTAGGGGAGGAGGGCCAGGCGAGCACCTCGGGAGGAATCGGATGGAAAAAGGATTGGGGTAGGAAAGGAGTGGACGATGAGCGAGGTTGGGATGGGGATGTGGACGGGGCTGGGGAGAATGCGTCCATGGTGAGGCGAGAGCGGGGAGAGCAGGGGCATCGGGTCGACAATAGGAGAAGCGCCGGGTGAAGAACGGGGACAAGCAGGGCTGGATTTGGGGGAGGATAAGGAAGAGGAGAATGGGGAAGTTGGGGAGGGATGGGAAACTGTAATCCCCCTTCTGGCCATCCTGCTGCTTGTTCTTCCCAGCCCTACCACCACCATTTCACTGCCTCTCCCTTCATCCTGCTCCCCCAGTCCTGATCCCGCTCCTTCCTGCTCCCACAGACCTGCTCCTGCTCCTGCCCACTCCTCCCCACCATCCAATGCCATGCCCCTCCTGAGGTCCTTTCACACAGGTGGGATTCTACCCCCACCGGCTGCCCACTTCCTACCCATCCTCTGCTGTCCCTCATGTCGATCCTGCTCATCCAGACCCAACCCCTCTACCACAGCCCCTCCCCCGACTTCTCTTACAATGGACCCATGCCCCTCCTCCCCGCTGCTCCCGCACTCCACCACATTCTCCACGACCTATCCCTATATGATCCTTCCTCGCCACATCCCACTTTTACCATTCCTCCACGACCTCCCCCCGCTTCTCCTACTCCGTGGCCCTCTTCCCCTCCACTGAGATAGAGAGCAAAAAAAGGACATAAGGGGGAAGGAAGACAGCCACGCCTGTTCTAACTTCCTCACAGCTCCCCTACTATCATATATGTACCTTAATGAACTTGACCACTTTATAGAAACAACTATCCGTGAATATAACAAGGCTCGAAGAGCAGACGCTTCGCGTCTGAATCCCACACATCGGAACCGAAGGATGCATTACATCCGCTTCGCAGATGATTTTCTAGTAGCAATCTCTGGTCCACGATCAGAAGCAATGAAACTGAGATCTGAATTGGAATGGTTCCTTAGAGACAGGTGGAGCCGCTGTGGGTGCCAGTTCTTTTAACAAAAACAATTCTGCGCCAATTGTATATACAGGATGAATTCACACTTTGATACCAACAGCTCACGCACCCTCAATGAAAAAATCTGTAAGCCCACCTGTGGAAGAGTCTGGATAAGTTACCCAGCCTTCTGGTATGGCTGTCAATAAACAGATCATGAGTTCGAACCCTGCCTGTTACAACAACGTTAAGGACTTACACCCTTTTAAATAAAAAACGGGAAGTAAAACGAACCGAGTTTGGAACAAGTTACCTTATCTACGGGGCCTCAGGGTGATATGTCAGGGAACCAAAAGATTGAGGACGGAGGAAAGGAAAGGAATTTGAGGCGTAGAAAAACTTCAAGAAAGCCAAAACACTTGAGAACAGGGAGAAAAGGCAAGAAATCAAGTGCAGTCGTGCAAAACGTAAACGTTTGTAATACTTTGTATGTATCGTATATTTTTTTTGAATTATGAAAGATACAATCACCATAATAAATTGTTAATTTGTTACCATAAATTATTACTAAAAAAAAATTAAAAAAAACATTTACTACAGAATTCTGGGGAAAGGAACAGCAATAATCCGCTTACGTTCCAACAGGGTTATAAACTAGACATTTCCGAATGTAGATGGACATACAGTTGCCCAGGTGCACTCTCTCAGGACTAGATCTGGGCTTTTGAAACTCAGTGGGCTATTTCTGTCCTTCAACTTCTACCGTCTTCACCCGAATAGAACGCCCGGTCATTATAGCTGCATTTGGCCCAACTTCCAGTCCAGATGCAGCGATAATGACCGGGCGTTCTTTTCGGGTGAAGACGGTAGTTGCCGAGAAGGGAAAACATTCCGACCATTTGCATTGCCAATGGCATGGACCTCATACAATAATGAGCATGACAATAGAGTTGAAAACTTGCAACACCAGCAGCCTGCAGCCACTGATTGGTCCTGACTCCTGACCTGCCGGCCGATTGACCCTATCATCAGGGACTGCTGGGCAGACCATTAGCATCCATAGAACCCACCGCCCCAGAACCATACTCCCTCACCTCAACCCCACCCTTACCCCTCATTTCAACCCCCACCCAAAACCCCTATTCAGCCCCCTCACTCACTCCTCCTCCTCCTCCTCCTCCTCCTCTTCCTCTCGTCCTCCTTCCTCCTTTGTCTTTGCTCGGTCATCAGAGTTTCGACCACATGAGACACTGAGAATGCAGCTTGGCCTCGATCCCTCCTCTACCACCTCCTCCTCCTCCTCCTCCTCCTCCTCCTCCTCCTGCTGCTGCTGCTGCTGCTGCTGCTGCTGCTGTTGCTGTGGTGGTGGAGGCTGATCCTCTTTTCCCTCTTCCCTTTTGTCACTGTTCACCACTGTATGCCAGACTTATTATCCTTCACCCAACCTCCTCCTTCCTCCTCCTTCGTCTTCTTCTTCGTCTTCTTCTTCTTCTTCTTCTTCTTCTTCTGCTGCTGCTGCTGCTGCTGCTGCTGCTGCTGCTGCTGCTTCTGTTGCTGCTGCTGCTGCTGCTGCTGCTGCTGCTGCTGCTGCTGCTGCTGCTGCTGCTGCTGCTGCTGTTGCTGTTGCTGCTGCTGCTGCTGCTGCATCTTGTATGCACCCCCGTTTTTGACATGTGCTCAGAATGCTCACAAATTAGCACTGCGGGGCCTACACAGCCTCCATGGCATGATCCCAGTGCCCATTTGCTGATAAGTGTGATACTTTCCTTGCCCGGTCATACCCAACCAGTCACCAAACCACTCACTGGGTTCCTAGCATGTACAACCATAACGCCAGAAACTAGCCAGATCGGACTGATCTTCGGACAACCATTCACTGCCAGTGTTAGCTGCCCTGACCACCACCGGCAGCACCACCACCACAAACTGCAACGACATAGTACATACATCGTACAACATAGTACGTGTAGTACATACATCGTAATATGTACTATATGTACTATATGTACTATATATACTATATATACTATATGTACTATATGTACTATATGTACTATATGTACTATGTATGTACTTGCAACCTATGCACATGGTACATTGTACAAAGTGCATCGTACTATGTATGTACATCATACTACGTATGTACAACGTACTATGTATGTACCAACAACAAACTACAACAATATATAGTACATACATCGTACGATGTACAATGTATGTATTATATGTACTATGTATGTACTCACAACCTATGCACATAGTACATATTACATCTTACTATGTACTATGTATGTACCAACAACAACTAGAACAACATAGTACATTCATAGTACATGCATCGTACATAAGTGGGAGGTCAACCTGTGCACGTATGACTACCAACAACAACAACAACAACAACAACAACAACAATGATGACGACGACAACAACGACAACAACGACAGAAGAAGGAACAAGGATAATAATAATATTATTAAGAGGATCTTGTACTGACCAGCCACAACCCTTGGTTGCCTGAGAGGTCGCAGGAAGAATGCGAGAAAGTTGGAGAGCGCAAGTATAAGCACAACTTGAATAATGAGCAAGGTGACGTCATGGTGCAGAGGATTGCCCCCAGTCACCACCAAAACGGAGTCCGATGACGAATGTCCCATCCTGCTGGAACGAGTAACTAACTACCAATCAAGAAAGTGAAAGCTCATGAAGGAGCACCGCGAAGCTTCTGCGCACAGTCCCTTTCAGGGCCACAAACGAACTCCTCCTTTCTAGACAAGTCCTTCTTTCTAGACAGCTTGCTTTTCTCTCCTCATCATCGCATAACTCTTATGTGAGTCTTGCATTTGGCAAAGCCTTCGGTCCAGGTTCAGACTCCTGAGCTTCAACTGCGCTGCGTTTATAAGAAGAGAGTCCCTGCATTTGGCAAAGCCTCCTCTTAAAACTGCTAGCTAACTTTCCCCTTCCATTTATGCCCTTCATTCCTTCCTTCTTGTCAAGTACCACGACCAAGGACAACACTCGTCATCTTGTCGTCTTCTAGTGAACTTCATCATGATTCAACACTGATTTAAAAGATCTGGATAAAGAACCTGTCCACAAAAGTGTTCAAAAATCCCATCCCTTCCTTTTCTTTAGAGGGGTCCAAATGAGACCCCTTTCTGTAGAAGGGGGGACATTAACATGCCAAGGTCCAACCGCCCCCMCCCCCCAAAAAAAAAAAAAAGCCAAGGTCCGAAAGGGATCCTCTTTGCTGTATAACCCCGTGTCTCCTCCTCCCACCTATTCATGTCCGTCCCAACTTTATTCTGCCCAAAAAGCCCCCTTCCTTTTCTGTATCTTCCCCTCCTCTCCTCTTCTCGCTCTCTTCCTCACTTCTTTTCTCCCTCCCGCTCTCTCTCCCTCCATCCCTCTCTTCAACCACCTGCCCTTCATCTCTCCTTGCAATCCCCTCCCCTGCCACCTTTCCAACTTTGAGCAGTCCTTAGATACCAAGCAACAACACCTCCTTCATATATATACCACTCGCACTCCTTCCTGCACTGAATCTGCCCATGTTTGCAGCCAGATACTTCCAGGGAAGTCCAAATTTGAGTAGTCCTTAGATATCAAGGAAGGATGAACAGTGAACACCTCCTTGTTAATGTATATATGTATATACAAGTGCAATGTATGTAGTCATAAATGATTGTCTTATTGTTCCAGCAGTTCCTCCGCCATTCAGTGACTTCAAAGTTGATTCATTTCAGGGTTCAACTGTAGGACCAGGTTCATCCTCCAGAAATTTTCACTGCAGCTGGACCTCCCTCCTGCTCAAGCAACACCTTTTCAAAAGGTGCCCCATTCCCCAACAAATAAGACCGTGCCCACAACAGCAAAGAAAAAGAACAGCATGCTGACAATTAGACTTTTTCAAACGGAATTTTTTTTGCCTTAATTGAAATCAGACACATTCAAAATTGTTAACATACCCACAATTAGACTTTTTCGACAGGATTTGGCCTTAATTGAAGTCAGATACTTTCAGAAAAGTACAACTGTGAGTATGTAGCAGCACTATTTATCAAACTGTGAGTATGTGGCAGCACGATTTACAACTGTGAGTATGTGGCAACACGATTTTTTTTAATTTTTTATTTTTTTTTCCAACACGATTTTCGGCCAAGTAACCCCTTTTTCCCCCCCTTTGGTTATTGAAAGAATCAGTATACCTTTCTTTGGTTCACAGTCCCATGTATCTATCTAAGGCTCCGCCGTTTGAAAGGACCCATCTGGTTAATACAGGGCCATGGAAAGCCTGGCATTTTCCGCTGTCGGCCTCAGAAAAGAATGGTGCTGCGCCCGCCAGGCAAGCGCACACTGCAATGGTTTCTATTTATTTTTGGGCTGGGCAGAAGTCTGCTTGGGAAAAGAGGCTCCGGTCCCATGGTAGTTCAAAGTTTGACAACAGCTCGAATGTTGGAAATGTGACGCCTCTAGTCATTCCCTTTACCTGCCTGGTGGCCGAATGGTACACACACTGTTGATAAACTTGATGCAGATGGATATAATCTGTGGCCCTTTTTTTTTGCACGGTCCCATGGTAGTTTCTGATATTTGCACCATGCCCTCCTTCTAAAAAAAAGTACCGGGGCACAAAAAAAAAGGAGGGATGACCCCACCCCTACAATACCAGGCTGGGCAAACCCTCTGAGGCGGGACCGCAGGGTTCCACAAGCCTGTTTCCCCAGGTCAGAGCTACCGTCTTCACCCGAATAGAACGCCCAGTCATTATGGCTGCATCTGGACTGGAAGTTGCCCCAAATACGGCCATAATGACCGGGCGTTCTATTCGGGTGAGGGCGGCAGGCCGGATATAGGGAGGACCTCGGCCGCAGCCCAGTTACCGAAATAGCCGGGCTGAAGGTAGCAGGATGTGGTTAAAAAAAAAAAAAGACAAAAAAAAAAAAAGGTGGAGGTCCCATATACTTTGGTCACTGGCCGTCGGGCCGTCTTGGATGGGGATTACGCCGCCCAGACTTTGCTCTCTTCATGACTTGATGAAGGC